AATTTAAATACTGGAATTGTTTTTTTATTGTTGCGAATCATTCAAATATCATAAAAATGCATATACTTTGCTTGTTGTATCTGTTGATATTTTGCCATCAGGTTTCGAGATAGCATTGCAAGGAATAATAGGTTCCACGCGTTCAATAATAGCAGATTGCAAATAACTTTGCTTATAAATAGTATTTCCATGAAATTCACCACCGCTAGGAAAGACATTAGTAGCACATGGCCTTATAGGTTTTTCCATACATGATTCCTCGTTTTTCAAAAAACTTTCGGTATATGTTGTTTTTGCACACATAGCAACATCTGGAGACCTATATTAGGATAGAAATATCATGTAATTAAATTAGGTATTATGATTCCTGGCTTGTCTATATAATAAACATATGTTTGATTAATTTTCTAATTTAGTAATTAAAATGAAGCATGTGCAAATAATTAAAATGTGACATAATATAAGAAAAAATATTTCTAAAAATTATTAATGTTGGCTAAACTACAGATATTTATGTATTTATGGAAAATTAGAAAATGCAAAAAATATACAAACTATACAAAATAAAGCACTGTTATGTATTTAGTCTAAGAAAATAATAAAATAAATGTCCAGACACTGTTTGGTAACATAAGGCTATTAACAGCATATAATATTTTAGTAAATATTGTAATATTATATTTTAATAAATAATTCTCCCTTGTAAGACACAAAAAATATGACTTATCATATCTTTTCCTTGTAGAAACTTGTGATATATACTTGTAAATTGGTTTCTGCTGCCAGGAGTATGTATCCCTTTCTCCAATGTGAACAGGCTGATAACTTAACTTTTGCGTAGTGTCATGAAGAACCGGTTCACTGGGTGGACAATAGACCACTATGGGTTTAAAATTAATCGTTGGTTCCGTACAACCTGGATCCACATAAGAAAGTTTTGCTGTAGTATTAGCATCTAGTTTGCCGGAACTCAAACGAATACTCCCACAAGGTATTATGATTTCTGGTTTGTCCATATATTTACGTGAATAATCTTGACGAACTGTAGTAACAGATTCCATTGGACCAGATACGATCATCGACCTAACACGCAAGAGAATAAACAAAAATGAAAAAGTAGCAGATTTAATTTAATTTTTTTAAATACGATTAAATTTTCTAAACTTGTTTACCTTTGCTTAGGTATAATTGGTTTTGTTTTAGGAATGTTTTCAATGTATTTGTAACTTAATTGATTAGTTGTTTCACCAAGAAATTGAGCATCAGATTTAATGAGAGCAGGTTTGGGTCTGATGGGTTGGGATCGACTCCGTCGCATTTCTGAATGATCCACATTTAAATATGATAAGTGATATGTGGTTTTACCTTCAAACAATTTCGAAGGAGGTTTGTACATCCTCATAGGAGCAAATGATTTTGCTCGAGATGGTTGCACATATTTCCTTGCGCACTAGATGTGAATAATATTAATAATAATAACCATCATTACTTTTGTTAATAGAAAATGATAATATAAAAAATAGATTTGTTACTTTAACATTACAGGGACACTTTACTGATTTTTGGCATGGTAGTTGAAATTGTTTTTTTGTTTCCACTACTTCCATTTTACTTAAATACTTAGTACTATTATACCAATTTATATTTTTATCAATAAAATAGGAAGATATTTGTAATTAATAAATTTAGATCTTCAAAAGACTTATAATATATAAAATACAACAATATAAAACAATAAGATTGTAGCTGCAAACGTCAACCTCTACATTACGTTTTATGACTTCAGTGACATACTAATTTAGCAAACAATACTTCAACGTTATATTACCGTTAGTTGAACAAAAACAAAATAAAGCCAATGATAAAATCGATTGCATTGAGGATCGATCATATATTTAAATAACTGCAAATGAGAGTTATAGACCGAAGTGATTTACTACTAATAACTATAATAGAAATTTCTGTCTTAGCTACTAATTTATTTCCTCATATGTATCGGTTAAAAATATAATATGAATACGTAAAATGTTTATTTTAAAGAACAAGAATATGTCTTTTTACTATTTTAGATCACAGTTAATTTTTAAGATTAGACAGATGTTCCTTCTCGATCTAGTATCTAGCGAAAATGCATGTAAATCGATGTTTTCAAGACAGTAATACATGGAAGACATAGAAAATACAATGCGATTACGTGTAATTGATCACGTTTTGTTTTAAGGGGATGTCATTTGTATGCATAATCGTAAAACATTACCTACATTCGTTTTGTCATTTTCCTCACATTTTTATATACGAAGCATATCGAAAAATATTGTGTTAACATTATATATATTTACTGTATACAGTATAATTATACTATGGTTCAAATTAATATAGTCAAATTAAAAGAAAATGGTATAGACATAAGATAAATTAAATGTAACTGTCAATAAATCTCTGCAGATTGTAGATTAGAAACTAGCGTTGGAAAAAGGAGGTAGTAATGCGTAATAAAATTAAGAGAGACAGTACAAATAATAAGATATGACATCTGTAATGCACTGAACTGTTCTTTTCAGTCAACACACAGAACTAATGCCGTTTTTTAAACACTCAACAAGAAAAATCTTTTAACACCAAGAAAAGAAAGGGCTTTTATTCTGGAAGCGCTGTGTAAATGTATCAGAGAATGAAAATAATCTTGGTGCTCCGTTTCCCTTGGCTCTGTAAAATAGTAATTCGTAAGATCAATTTATATTATGAATCATATATGTTTCTGTAATTCATAGAAAGTATGTATGTATAATACAGAAATGAGAAATCCCACGGGATGACATAGGAGTGAAGGGAGTAGTCTTCTCACTCACCAAGACATTGGGTTTACCTAGTCCCAAAGTAGTTGGGTTTGTGATATATGAAAACTTTTTCTTTTGATCAATAAATCTTCTATTTAAGAATATCTTCTGGATTGTATAATATTTGTCGAAAACAATTAAGATCCGCTTTCCTTCCGAGGGACTTCTCATCTCTGTATAATATAAAATAAATACTTTTCAACAATCACAGCAGGCATTTGAACCAATTGCACGGGGCTTTTGGCATCCTTTAAAGCTTGTTGTAAATTTAAAATCTGACCGCGCATTACACTCATTTGTTTATCAAAATGGTGTCGATCAAAACCTTTGTCTTGCTAGAAAAATAAATGTTTTTTACTATCAAATTCTGATTATAAAATACCATTTATGTCTTACAATTATAATTTTATAATTTTACGCGACTTACTTTGAACAATTGATATAAATCATCACAAAGATCTTGTACAAAATTTTGATCCGAGAGTTGTGGTAATACAAGCTCTCGTGTTACATCGCTAAATGGTTGTTTCGCTTGACTTAACCATGCCCAGTGATAAGGGTAAGCTCGCCAGGAATCGGGATGTTTAAAAGGAAAAGCCAAACCATTATCTATAGCGGCTATTTTTACTTCACCCTGTTCTGATCCGTTTTTTCCTTTACTATTATCATATTTAATTAACCAATTATCGTTACCTTAAAAAAAATCGATATTATTGAGTGATTTGTTCTTTCACCTAATAACAAAAGAATCTTATAAATTATTAAATACCTCTGTCAGTATTCCTAATTATATAGTCCAAAATAACTAAGCGTTCGAATTGAAGTTGAAATTCTCTACTAAGACGTGGTGATAAAGGTTCGTTTTCCCACCGTCTTAACCAATAATCGGCATCCTTATAACCATCTACAAAAATTTGAAAAGAACCAACTTTTGGCGGCAAGCCAATACGGTTGAAGTGAGAGCCTACTGTAGGAAACTGGTCCATGATAGCTTGCTTCATACGGGCTTTTTGACGGTCTAAGCGTGGGTAGTTAAATGTTTTACTGACAAGTTTGACTACTCTAGTATTTGGAACTATGCCCAGACCTAATTTACGGTCAACTAAACTCGCACCCGCCTCGCTGAGGTATCCTTGATTTGGAATTAAACAACTTCTCCCAAAACAACAAGGACAGCAGAGCTTGTGCATCCATTTTGTCCATTTTGGATTTAACCTTCCATAAGGTTCTTCATCTTTTGGCTTAAAAACGCCTATTATTTTCTGTAAAACAAAACATTCTGTTATTGTTACAAAGTCATGATACATAACAATCTGTTTTTAAATAGACTTTAATTTATCAAATGTACAATGAAAGTATACCTTACCCTTGCAGGATTTTTTACAAAGTAACTGCCACTAGAACCTTGATATATTCTCTCAGGAAAGATTCCATTGTCTATTGCAAATTCAGCTTGCCATACTAATTCAGAAAATTGTGGGTCATCTATAAAATGTAACATAATGTACAATAGATTCAATTAAAAATAACAAGAGTAATATTTAATTCTAAGTCTATGAGATTAGATAATAACAAACCAGGAAAACGATTAAAAGTGACATCAAGCTCTAATCGACCAAGGAGAGGCTGGCTCTCCCGGTCAATCCCAGGGGAATCAATGGCTATAGTTTGTTCGTTACTCAAGTTGGGAACAAATTCAACGTCGGGTATTAGATCTGAACACTCGTTTACTGGTAAACAATTGTTAGATGTGATTGACAGATCTACCAAAGCATCAGTTTCCACTAAGGCAGAAGTATTAGTATTGTTCTGACTATGATATTCTCGATAAGGCACGTGTAATTGCCGCTGTTCGGAGTCGCTCATTACAACCGAATCTGCTAGTTATTTGGCAAATTCCTTTACCACTCGATTATTTAAAAACTTGCTTGCACAGATAATCCTATCTACTTCCCCATATTCTTGTCCCACCTGTCAATGACGCAAACGATCGAACTCGTGTTTAGCAAGTATTTTCGCCATTACAAACTCTAAAACAATCATTACGTCATTAAAATAACAACACTGAATTATTATAAATTTATTAACTTATGAGAATAGCCATGGAATAAAAATATGTTTACGACGTTTAAGGGTACACTATACAACTAATTAATAACTACAATTCGTTATTCCAGCAGACGATATCAGCTGATAGGATTAACGCCATATTTAATTTTTTCTATACTGTTTTATGCTTACACGTAGATACAATTGTAGTTTTCCATTTACATAAAAAATGCATATTCAATTATACAAATATATATATATAATATATTTGTATATATATATATATAAAATTACTTATGCTTTATAAATACGCACTCATAAATTTGACCACAAAACATATACAAATAGAGTGATATAATCATATCTTGCAGTCTTCTTTCAAATCAGAGAAATTCAAATCGGTAAATAATTATAAATTTCCCGTGCAATTTAAAGTAAATGTATACTTTTCTAATATTGGTTCCTAATAAAATTAAAAACAATAAAATTAAAAAGTTCAAAACTTAATAGTTTTATCGAAAATGTATAAAAAAAAAATTTTATAAACATATTATTGTAAATATATAATTTCAGTTCTGAAAAATGCACGGCATTATTTACAAAATAATTTAACTTTATTTTTAGTTCGTTTGACAAACAATCATGTTAACAATAATATTAATAAAATAGAATTTGTCACAAAAATTGTCGAGAAAAACAACCAATCAGGGTAAAGAACGATCTATTGGAATATAAACAAGGAAGATAACGTTAGAATAATCATAGTCGTGTGTCGTGTAACGTGTGTAATGTTCGTACCCGCGTACTTAACCTGTTGCTCTAAGAGTTTCGGATTTCCTTGAACCTCACTTGGTTATTAATTTATTTTAATTTATTTTTTCGTAATTAATATCGTGATGTGCCTTTTGCGTTATTATTTAACTATTTCGCATAATTCGATAGTTCGAGCATTCATTTCACGGAACTTTTTATCATTGTTTTTCAAGTATCAATTGTCATGATTGATCAATTTACAATTCGTATAATTTAATTTAGTAATAAATTTAATTAACGTATTTAATTATCAATTATCAATGTAAATATTTATATTCTAAAAAAAAAACTACATATATATTCAATACACGTGTACGCAAGCATACGTGAAGGAGGGAAAATAAATTGTACATACGAAATTTTAATCTTGATTCTGTCGAAAATAAAAATTTATCTTTGCAAATTAATGCATCCTGTAAAGAGCAACATGTTTCTTGTATGTGTAACCATGGGCCTTGTACTTTTGGCCTCTAAATACCACAAAAATGTTTTCCAAAGCGTTAAACATCTTTGTCAATGTATGAAAAATAAAAATTGTAAGCAAGGTGATAATAAGAAAAAAGATCTTAAAATCTCATTGGACAAAATTATTTTGGCCGATACTCCAGAAAAATGTGATTACGCTATTCAACGTATTCACTGGTAAGTTGTACTATTATTTTTATTCCAATATTACATTGTATGTCCTAAATGTTATCTATATAGAGAAAGTATACTCTAGTACTATATTTATATTTTTTTCTTTATATATCTAACTACAGACTTTCAAGACGTTAATTATGTTGGTACATATTTTTTCAGTTAATTACTTATCACTTCAATAAATTTTCTCTACATGAGGACTTTAGAGTATATATATATATATATTTTAGTTATATTTAATTATAAGATGTACATATCTTTTTGCAATAATGAATTCCATGATTAATGTGATGTTAAATATATGATCAAGATTTTTTTATTATAAAACATAAATATAAAAATATATTTTTATATTATTTATTTTTAAACATCTCCATTATTTATTTTGGAATAAATATATTTTATTTTGTTAAAGCAACTTGTCTAATGATGTGTTGGGTTTTGATTGTGAATGGGTTAATGAAGGACCTGTTTCTTTACTTCAACTTGCTACATTTAATGGAGTATGTGGCTTGTTTCGCATTGGCAAAATTGGATATATTCCTCAAAAATTAAAAGTACATAATATTTTATAAATTTAAATCAATACGTAAATTAAACATTTATGTATATAATATGACAAACATTCTTTTAGGAATTACTAGCTAATAAACATATTCTTAAAGTAGGAGTTGCTTCATATGAGGATGGGCAAAAGATATTAGCAGATTATGGATGTAAAGTTAGCAGTACCATTGATTTAAGAACATTAGCAGCACGCGTGGATTTACCAAGTCCGAAAAGTTTAGCTGCAATGAGTTTGCAATATTTAGATTTGGAAATAGATAAAGTAATGGAAATAAGGTGTAGCGATTGGAACGCTGCCACCCTTACTGACGAACAAGTGGCATATGCTGTTTGTGATACAATTGCATCTGTTCTTATTTATGACCAAGTAAAGTATAATTTATCCATCAGGATACTATGGAAGATATACATAGCAATAAATTATTTCATATTTTATAGATCGTGCAAAAAATAAAAGAGAAATATTCTTTGTGGGAAATGTTAGTAAATTGTATAAAAAATATGTGTAGTAGAAACTTAAATATGCACTTTCACTGCCTACCTAGTGATGTAATTGATGTGAGGTAATAAACCTAATATATTATTTTATATATGTATTTATCTTTGATTATTGTTATATTAATTTACAGAAAATCATTTCTACATTTCGTATTTCAGGTTTAAGGGCAAACATGAACACACAACTATTAATCAAAAAAACAATGAAAACAATTATTTTGATAAGATTACTCAAAATTTAAAGATAAATAACAATATACATAAAAGTTATGTACCTACAAGAAAGAAACCATTATATCATAATTGTTACTTACAAGCACCAGATGGAGAGATATTATGTACATGTGATCGTAAAAAAGCAGAATGGTATATTACAAAAGGATTAGGAGAAACAGTTGAAAAGGAACCATTTACTGTGAGGTTGAAATTTGAACCATCTGGACGAGCTTTGGGAGAGGTTGGAAAGTATTATACACAAGTAAAAGTCAATCAATGTGTAGTTTGTGGGAAGTCAGACATGTTTACTAGAAAAAATGTCGTACCTCGAGAATATCGTAAATATTTCCCATGTAAGTTGAAATATAATTTGATGTACATATAATAAAATAAATTATGAATAAATTTATAAATATTTCTTAGGGGTGATGAAAGCTCATCAGTCTCACGATATATTATTATTATGTCCATCCTGCCATGAAATAAGTAATTATTATGATCAGCAATTCAGAAGAAAACTAGCAGATATGTGTGATGCACCTTTAGCTGGTCCATTAACGCATGTACGTAGTAAACATGTAAATGATTCAAGGAAATTACATTCAGCTGTTAAAGCTCTAAAAGAAAGAACAACTTTACCTGAATCACGACGCAAAGATTTAGAACATTATATTTTAGAATGCACAAAAGAGAAGCAAATCACTTCAACTCTACTTGATGTATTAAGTAAAGAATTAGAAAAAAAAATTTCAGTACCTAATTATGACCAGTCTAAATGCCAACCTCACGGTTTAAAGGTATTATTAATGAATAATAGAAATGATATATTTGTATATTTTTTTTTTATTCATATTAGTATTACAAATTGTATTTTTCAGGTTGTTCAATATTTTCATGAAAGGGAAGGAGGATTGGTAGAATTAGAACGTATGTGGAGAGAACATTTTCTTCTGACTATGAAGCCAAAATATCTACCAAATTTATGGTCTATTCATCATAATCAAGAGAGATTAACTATTCGTCAATCAGAGAATAGAATTAAACCAGAAGATGCAAAAGTAGCTGGTTTGGCATATTGAATTTTATATATTACGTACCTAAGGACTCGTATAAGAGCGAGTACTTGTATTAGAAGACTGTTACATAAATTATGTGCATATATTTATATATACAAGCATATACATATTTATATATTTATACACATGTACATAAGAATCAACCTATTATAAGTGAGATTATTTGCAATTTGTACAAACTGCTTTAATTTATTAAAAAAACAGAGACTTGTGATACTTTAAACAATGTTTTCTTTTATTTCAACACTTTAATCAGTATTAAAGTATAAGTATACCAATTTTATCAACTGATGTTCCATGTTATTTATTGGTGACTAAAATGCTATTACATTCATATATACAGACTTCAAAGATATGTCAATTAAATTTAGACTATAAAAATGTATTATAGTTGTTTTGAAGCATTCTGTTGCCTGGAATTTCTGTTTGGAGGAGGAGTCTTCATAGTTTTTAACTCTTCATCAATACGTTCTTTAGCACGCACAATTTTTGACTGAATATAAAAAGAACCACCTTTTGATCTGTCATTAACTTCCATGAGGTACTTATAATTACGTTCAATAACTTCTACTTGATCCACTCGTTCAACGTTCAAAATCTGCAGTGCTTCCTCTAAAGAAACACCGGTTTTATAATTTGCTGCAACATGTTGTGCACCTCGTGCACCTGTTTTATGTGCAGCAGCTTGACTTGCTGCAATTTCTTGTCGTAATGCCCGTGCAAATGCTTTAACAACGACTTGTGTTCCCATTATAATTATTTGTACTAAGTGTTTTGCCATAACCTCTTTTCTTATTGAAAATAATTGCCAAAATAATTTTGAACGTACTATTTTCTTTTTTTTGTGGTTTAACTTTGAGGGAATATTTATACTAGAATTCGTTTTTTACAATATTCAAATAGCGATACCACTGTTTCCGAATTTTTATGATGATTTCTTTATATAATTTATTTGTTGCACGTCTCATACTTGTATTACACCATTTCAGAACGCGCCATAGATATAGTTCATTGTATACATATGCGTGTTCCGTTATTAGTATAGTTCATATGCACATGAAGATTTAATTGAATGAATATTTATATTAAAGTATTAGAAAAATTTATAAGATATTGTATTATAATATACACATATTAAACATTTGTATTATACTTTTGTATTATAAATTTTTCATTTTTAAAAAACATTATTAGGTTAACACTATTAGGTTAAAATTCTATTACATATGAGATAAATATTAATTAAATATTGGTTGACATTGCAAGAAAATACAAATACAATAATTTATAATTATTATTACTTTTATTATTCAATAACTTTATATTTACAATTTCTTGGTCAATTTTAATGTGAAGTAAAATAGAATCTGTCTTTGAACTTTTGCTAAGATGAAATGAATGCATTTATGTTCTACCAATGTAGTTCGAATATTAAATATATGTTCAATCAGGTATCGGTAGTGTATTAAAATGTTTTAATGCATTAACTGCACAAGAATTTTCTAAATTATACAAAGGATGAATTATTTTCACTAAATTTGTATTAGGTGATCCAATGATCAATGGCCATGGTGAATTCTGTGCAATTGACAATCCACTAAGTGCGTAACACGTATGATATACATCTTGACTTCTGAAATGAATATAATTTATAAAATTGCTTTTATAATAAATAATAACAGTGTTTCATACTTTCCAGGCTTGTCCACAAGACTACCATGAGGATGTTGACAACAGATTAATAGATATTCTTGTAAGGCCTCTTGATTAAATAACCAATATGAAGAATTAAATATTTTGTTTTCCATAGTCAAAATTGTATGAATCAGAGGAAAAGCTCCACCTTGCCAAAATGAATAACAACCATCTACTAATTTCTCTGTGCGTCCTTGGAACCCACCTTCCAAGCGCATTTGTTTATTTACTATCCATCTCTGAAAGTAAATAGATATGAATAATGAATCTTTCAATCTATACGTATATAAATCATAAAATTTATATATCAGCTGAATACCAGAAATGATTTCAAACAACAGAAGTGAGGTTTGCCAAGAAGCATAAGTGCTGCTAACCCACAAAATCCATATCCTCCATGAGCTTCCATGCCAGGAGAACCACCAAAACCACCTTCCCACGTTTGACATTTAGCTATCCAATTTTCACTGCCTTTGAATATTTCAGGAGTATATACATTTGTCAGTTTTGCCACAGAAAGAGCACAATATATTCCTCTTATATCTGTTTCTCCATCTTTGTGTAAACTGAAAGAACCATCCTCTTCGCGTAAAGATGATAGAAACTGTTTAAGTCCTTTTCTAAAATCACAAAATCATACAATTAATATTTTTAAAGTAAAATCTCTTAAAATGCACTTTTAATCATAATATTTTATACATATACATACCTATTAATTACTTGATAAGCTTGAGGAGTACCAATAGTACATAAAGCATTTATTGCTGCATAAGTAGAGGCTAAATGAGGATGTTGCCCTGGGCCTCCTCCAAAGCCACCCTCTGGCGATTGACATTTGGCCAAAAAACCAATAATTTTAGAATATTCATCATATTCTAAACGTTCTCCTAGGATTTGAAGAGAATGTAGGCTCCAGTAACACAACCATGGCCTGCTAGAATCTAAACACTAAAAAAAAATAATACATGAAAAAATATATACAACTTTAAGTATAATAGAAAAACACAATTCTTACCTGATAAGCTTCACTAAGATGAAACAGAGATTTTTTTAAAAATTGAATATGTTTCTGTTTTGTTAAAATTGGTTCATTATTTAATTTGTATAATTTTAATATATCGGTTTCAACACGATCCTATAATTAAAATATTAGAAAATATTAACATCAAAGAGAAAGAAAGCATTTGATAAGGATAATTTATTGATATTTAAAGCACACTTGTCGTATTGAACTTGTGGTTTGATATCCTTCGTCATCCTGTTTTTGTTTTAATATCTCGGCATAAGTTCTAACGTTTGGTTCATCACGTTCACTAATCACCGACTTCCACATAATCTATTAAATATGCGGATATATTGTATTAACAATTGGAATAAATAAATCTCCTGTTAAAACATAGAGAAAAAGTAAAACGAAAAATGTATTACTGAGATTTTAAAAGGAAAACGGCGAGAAGAACATTTAATTTCAAATGAAATTTTTCTGAATCGAATAATATTATATGGTTCTATCGCTTTGGTTATATCGCTTTCACGTCAAATGCATAATACATAATTACTTCAAAACAAAAAGGTTAAAACTTCTCTGAGTAATTAATTAGAACTTGCACTAGCTACGTAAATGATTAAAATGTAAGAAGAAAGCTTTAGTTATTAAACTTGTCGTACGATGGTGCGCCTCGTCTGTAGAAAAATTAACCTATTTGAACGTTTCTTTGTAATTTTTATTCAAGTAAAAGTTTCAAAGTATTTTATTACAAAATATCTCCTTTAGATATCGTTAATGTCTATACATATATATATGTATATATATATACTGATGTATTATTAAATTACACGATAGAAACAACACGTGATGTTTAATAAGTATTGTATATAATTATAATAATGTATATCAATACAAATACTTACTTTTTACCAAAAAATTTCATTGTTCACACATTTTATGGTGAAAGGACTTGTTTCTGCTGGAATCAAAATGAACTTATAATATTTCCATACGGAAATAATGAATCTGTTGAAGTTTTGACAGCACCAGCATCAATAAAAACTGTACAATGTTTTAGTGGTAGAATTTTTTTAATTTGCATTCCACAAGGCATTTATAAACTTTCGAGAGATCGAGAATTTGCCGTTTTAAGTAAAAGTGCGATTGGAATGGGTACCGTTTTTTATGAGGTATTGATACCAAGAAATGGATATCTTTATTTAGATAATAAACAAAAAATGTCAAATAAACTATTATTTAAACTTTCTTCAAAAGAAATTAATTCCAGTCAGCTATGTGTTCATCTGTTAAACATGGAAAGCACTACAGAATATTTTATGAAAGCCTTGACAAATAATTACTCTACTATAGAAAATTTATGTATAATTGCAGATGGACAAAAACTTTTAACATTAATTAATGAGAATGTGCAAATAATACATAGCAGTATTTACTCCATTAGAGATATAATACCTGTATGGAAGAATTCTAAGATTGTAGCATTACTTCTTGCTACTACCACAAATGTTATTGTTATGATACATTCAAAAGACAACACACTTATCTTCGAAACAATTTATTTAAAGACAGAAATACAAACCATTTGTGCTGGTTTTAGTGAATCCTCAGATGATATGTTATGGATTGTTTATTTATATGAATCTGAATTTTATTATGTAAAAAAACAATTACTGGTTGATAACATTCATCAAATAAGAGTCCAAGATAAAAACTTTGTTTGCTTACAATCATATGATTCTAAGATGATTTTAGGTTTGACACAAGATAAACAATTAGTAGAGATTTCTATAAATACAATAGAAAAAAACCTATCGATAGAGAATGATACTTTCATTAATCTTCATTCTAATATGTTAGAAGCTGCAACAGTTATAAAGGAGAAGATTTATACAGGAACTCAAGAATTACAAGTTTTAAATGAAACATTAACAACAGAAATAGATAAATTAAAAAGAATAAATTTATATGCACATAAAGATAAAGTACACTTTTGTCCGAAAATAACGATAAATTATGTAGCGAATCGGTTATTTTTATCTGCAAATTTCCACGATGTCTTTCCAAAAAGTAGTTGGGTCGTTCTTAATGTAAAATTGGAATATCAAAATTTATTTTGTATGAAGAAAGTAGTAAACCAAGAGACTATAATCGATATTTATATACCTGAAAATTTAGCAATAAATTTTTCGCGAATTGCAATAGATTTAATAACTTTTAAAGATAAAGGACATCCTTGGTGTATAATAAGGGATTATGTAATCAGTGATTATATCGAAAAACAAAAGAAAAAGAGATCAAATCATGATTTTATAAATTCTAAAATTACCAAGCTCGAAACTCTTATACGAGAAAGAAATATTAATATGAAAAAATTATCTGAAATTAAGAAAAGTGTAAGGAAAGAATTTAATGATATTTAAATTTAAACGATATTTGAAATAAACTTTATAACTTGATATTTATGTTATATTATATTTTTATAATGTGAATTTGTATAGAAAATAGTAGGAATTAAATATAGGTGATCAACAGAAAAATCCAATGCATTTGAAAACAAAACCGTATTTATTTTATGAATATAATAATATATTGATAAATATTTGACTCTTTTTCTGGATACATACTTTTATCGACATGCATTAATTCTATAATTATACAATGTTAAAATTATGTGCAATATATAGTTTCCCTGCATTACACCAATATAGAACATATTAATTTAGTATTAATGTATATGCTTTTTTTTTTAAAGAATATTCTGGATTTATTAAGGAATAATAATTTTGACAAAATTTATGCTATTGATGTAAGTAATATACACTTATTTTTATTTGTAGGCACACTATTATTTAATGTTAATCGACTAAAAATCATTATACAAACACAGTTAGCACATAAATAGTTCTTTTACTTTTTTTCACATGCTTCATTAATATTTAGGTCTTTGTTATAAGATATAATTTTTATTGTAAGGAAAACAAACTTGTAACACACTGTTAGTAATATCTGTACTTTCTATAAAAACTGTAAATATAAATAAAGTCATAGTAAGTACTTTGAATTGCTGCTAATAAAATGCATAATTATTAAATGGACTATAAAAATGTTACATGTTATAAAATATATTGGGAATAAAGAACTGATTACTAACAATAGAAAATAAATAGTAAAAGAACAATAAATGCTATCTAATAACACTATATTATCTATTTATTATAATTTAAAAGTATGCATTGTCTAATGTTAATTGTAACATAATATATTAATATGAGTATACAGACTTTAAAATGATTTAAGTATTATATATATCATATTTACGAAAAATATCCCACAAAATTGCCTAGAATATTGAAACATATATATTACATAAAATTTCTTGAATAAAATATATATTTATATAAAAAATAAAATTTGAATTATTTTTTTAAATTTGAAACTTATGTTACGCTAAAATGGATATTATTTTGTAGATGTATCAGCTTTTGTAATTTGAAATTATATTATCTCATTTAATTTTTGAATAATTATTTACAAGTAATGAGAGTAACTGTTTTTAAATGTAATACATATCTTTAAAAATTATTTAAAAGAAGTACTGAAATATTTATAAGTTTAAAAATATGGCAGTAATAGTTTCTATTAGATTTAAAAAAAAATAATAAATTGTAATGATTTAAATCTAAAATTACAAGTCTATTCTAGAAATTCTATATTATAGACTTGTTGAATTAAATACAGAAACTGAACTTTTTTTATAAAAAAAAATTAAATTTCTTTTTGTGTATTTAAGTTTTTAATTACAGATGCTTTTATATTTAAGTTTTTAATTATAGATGCTTCAAAATTTAGAAAAAATTTCTATTCATAAAATATTTCAAACTATCAACTTATATGGAACTTAAGATATGTGCAAATGTTGAACATGAAATTTTATATTTGATATACTTCTTTGTATAGTAATAAAAATATAATAATTGGAATAAAAGCACATATTAGGCATATATTATTAAAATATCGAACTTTTTGAAATTCGCTATTTTTCTGCAGAGATTGTACCATTGTGTTATCGCTCAACATTTTTTTTCTTTCTTTCTAAAAACACACAATTATTCATATTATACACACTTAATAAATAAATGAAAGTTTATAAAAAGGAGGAATTCTATTTCAAGTTGAAAATTAATTTAATTGAACTTTATCATAGCAAATTTAGATGAACATATAGTTTGAATTTACTATGAAAATTATATCTATTTCCTATTAAAATGCAATTTGTTAAACACGATTAAACACAGTTTATAAATCTTTTAAGGCACTGAATAAAATACATAGTATTTTTACATCGAGGGTCTCATAATTCATTACAAATGGGGACAATTTGTTCCTTCTATTTACACTATTCACATTTGTGTAAGAAATATGATTGAATTGATTGAATTGAAGAAATACAAGATAACCGAAGAAAAACATGTTGTTTCGTATGCGTCTAAAAAATATGTTGAATTATACATTCAGAGTTTTTTAAATCTTCTATTATAACAAGATTTTAATTGAATACATCTGAATAGAACCCACTCAGACTAAGTAGATGAACAAATCATGTATTTATTCATGGCAACTGACAAAGATGATTCAACAGATGAGGCCTTCACAGGTATCCTTAAAAAAGACAACTTTCCAAAGAAATTTTTTATACGCGTAAAAAGACAGACCAGCAAAAGAATCGAAAGTGCCCCCACCTGTCTTCACCAAACCAAAGATCCAAAAATTAACAGAGACAAGATCTGAAACTGCTATTTTTAAATCAGTCTATTCCTGTGTGAAAAGAATAGAATCTAAAGTGGAAACTGTTATGAAGGAGATTAAGGACCAAATATAATTGAATATCTTGACACTCAAGCCATACAACGAGATAAATTACAATCACTTTCTTCTAGAGAAATTATACTATAGAAGATGTATCAAGGACACATTTTCTATAGTAGAGTTCTTCCTAAAGACAAAAAAGTTATGGTGATTCTTGAAAAAAGGGAAAAAAGAAAATTAGCAATATGACAAATTCAAACTCACTCACTCAAGAAATTCCAGAAATATACTTTAGTAACCAAAAAAGAAAACATGAAACAATCTAAATATTATCACATGTTGGTATTCAGGGGAATGAATAAGCTAATAAAGCATCAAAACAGTTAGTTGGGAGATATATAAAAAAATATGGGATGGGACACATAGACACATATGTTCCCAAGCATATTCAATCAAACAGCTCAATCTAATTAATTAGAATTAAGATAAGCCACACAGTACTATCATATTCATATTTACTGAATAATCATCATCCCCTATCTGCAAACAATGCAAGGTTCTATTTTTCACAAAGCATATCATACTAGAATGTAATAGTTATAACTGCGAAAAAAGAAACTACAAAATTGCTTAGTGATATGATTAAATTGCTGAATTTTGATTAAAATTTGCAGAATCTCCTCCAATTTTTAATATTCAAAAATTTTTTTTAATATTCAAAAATTTTATATTTGAAGCTATAAGTTAACTGTATTACATGTATTATATTTTTGACTAAAGTTTTTTTAATTTAATAATGTAAGAAATGTAAAAAAAACCTAATTGTAATTATACAATTGCAAATTTTGTTGCAAATTACTTTGTGTTAAAAATTTTTAAAACTTCTTTTACTTTATAAGATATAAGCATAACAACGGCAATTGTTTATGTATAATCATTAAGAAATGTCATGTAAATGTGTATTTTATCGACATAAAATGCACATTTCATAAGTATTGTTTTTATGAAAAAATGCATGGTAGAGTGATATTTACAAATGTTTAAGAATCATATGTTGAAAAATATATATGCATTTTGTGATAAATAAAAAATGATTTTTCTACAATAATGAGAATATACGATCTTCAATAAGTGTTCCGCTCTTTTAAGATATAAAATATATGTAAAAGAAAAAATTATGCAACATTTATCAATTGAACATGGGTTTAAATTTTAATTACGTATTAAATTGTTTACGTAAATTACAAAAAGAATTAAATATATATGAGTATCTGAAATTTTGGCAATCTTCCCTGAGCGTACTAACTTTATAGAACTAGGATACATATCATGGATGCTTTCCACGAACCAACTATTTAAAACTTAAAATACACAAAATCAACTATCAATTTGTTTTGCGATAAATATTTAAGTAATTTGTTAAGTACCTAATGCCGTGATAGCATTGTATGTCATAGAGGTTTTTCCTGCTCTTCGTTGTTTGATACCTGCAGTGTTAATGTCGACTCATTTACATACCGTCGACTATTCTCCGAACGTTAAGAGTCTTCTTGTTTAGGCAGGAGATTTGTTCTTTCTTCGTCTTCAATTAATTTTTTCGCTGATATAGCTCTGTTTGCTTCTTGACGAGCCAGAATCTCTGTATTTAAATCTAATTTAGCTTGTGTTTGACTGGGGTTGATTACAATCGTTGCCTAGAATATATATATAAAGTTACTAATATAATTATTTGTATTTTATAATATTGAAATAATAAAATTGTAATAATGAAAAGTTAACCTTTGCCGGCGAATTTTTAAGCTTTCCATTATGATCACTATAAGAGATGAATTTTGAATGTGTAACTGGACTAGCACTGACTGGAGCAGGTGAAGTTGGAGCAGTGGCACTATGGACAGGTGATTGCACGTTATCTTTTTCTTTCTCCTTTTCGTTTTTATTTTCTTTTTCTTTATCAATAGGCAATACTGGAGATTCTGGCATGCTACGATCATCTTCATCCAAAGAATGTAGTAACTAAGAATTATAAAATTATTATATAGTAGAAATTTGGTCATATTTTCATGATTATTGTTATTCACACTTTATGCAATTAACCTTTTCTACTTCGTCGTCGAATTGTTCCTGACCAGGTAATGAATCTTTCTGACTTCTCTCTAGAAGTGTGGCTCGTTTTGCAGCCAAATATAAAGATCTTTTAATTTTAACATAGAACACTTCCGACACTGCTCGTACTGTATAATCGGGAACAAATGTATACCGTAACATAGAATCTAAATTGATCGATTGTATGCTTCCCACTGTTTGAGGATTTGTATTGGTAGGTGATTCGGCTGAAAAATCCTACGTATAAGTCTATAAAACATATTCTAAACATTAAGGATAAACTTAATATGAGTTTTACCAATTCCAACATTAACAGTAAGTGCTTGAGAACCAAAATACGTAAACGGGCCACTTTCGAACATCATATTTTCTTTTCCCACTGTAACTTCAACTCGACCTTCTAGGATTAAAACGAAGTAGTCAACCGCTTTTCCTTGTTGATATATTACCGCTGCCGGATCATTTCTTGCTTTTTCGCGTGATTTCACTTTGATGTGATAAATAATATCTTGTTTAAGCAAACGACGCAAAATAGTTTCCGATATTGTATCGGGCTTAAAAGCATCTACAGCTGTGGATCATATATTAGACTCAGATACATTTTAAGAGTACTAAAATAATGTTTTATATAAATTTCATATTTTCTTAAATCAAAACACTTCTTCCTACTTGTAGACAAATACTGAAACATAGCCAATGTTAATTGAGGCGATATATGAATTCGTTGATTTTCTTTCTTCTCTGCAAAGACGGTAAAATCTTGTATTTTATGCCTAGCTTGTCTTCTGCGCTTAGTTCTATTATCCGCTGTATAAAAGATGATTAATATTAATTGCATTCATACACATATAAGACTGTTAATATGTTAAGTGTTTTCATAAGGTGACTTACTGAAAACATCAGTTTCATCCATGATCTCAGCCTGAATTAATTCTTCTATAACATCTTCTAATGTAACTAATCCTATTACTTCATAAAAAGGATCGCCTTCACCTTCGTTATTAACCCTTTGAACAAAAGCCATGTGACCTTTATTACCTAAAATGAGTGCATGTTTCTATAAATATAATTCATTTTTAAAAGACACCAAACAATTCAGTGAAAGTAGATCATTTTAAAAAATACGAACCTTCTTTAAATTGTTTAAACATAATGTCCAGTGTAACATCTTCAAAAATGAAGTTGCATGGATTTTGATAAAATTGGCATAAAGTTTTTAGTGGCATATTATCATCTGGATCGACAAATGCAAGATCTTTGATATAAAGCATTGTTACAATATTTGTTCTTACACCTTCATATACTGGTATACGAGAGAAACCTAAGAAGTAATAACAATAAATGAATAAATATTTATAAATAAATATTCTATATTCTATTAAATTATATTCTATAAATAAAATAAAATTTAAACCTGATTTCATAATTTCTGATACTGTTTCAAAATCTAAAATGGCATTGTAATTCAACATATATACATCTTCAATTTTTGTCATTACATCTGTAACAGTTTTTTTCCGCAATTCTAATGCTCCAGCAATAATATTCACTTCATCCTTTTCTAAATCATTATATCCTGTTGTTACCTGCATACAATTATATATTCTATATAATTCGCATATGTAGATATGAAATCTTTAATGATGTTATTAAAGATTATATGAGTGGAACACTTGATAAAAAATTATTATATTAATTATATAAGATATTTTTCTTTATATTAACGCGCGCGCGCGCGTGTGTGTGTGTGTGTGCGCGCGCGCGCGCGCGTGTGTGAATAAATGTATTGGAAATACATTTTGAAGATAAATTCAACTTAAATTAGCACAATATAAGAGTGTAAGGTTATCTTATTTAAGTTTCATAATGATAAGAAATCTAACATATACGCTGAAGAGTATAAAAACTTCAAACAGACGTCAGTAGATCTATATCTTACCTACATATGATTGAATTTAGATGTTAGTATAATTATCTGCCCTATCCATAGTCATTCTGATAAGATCCATAACAGTAAAAACTTTGAAAAGGTGTTTGATAATATATACTTTAAATTGCAAACAGAAAAGAAGACTATATTAGGAATATAGGAAGTTTAAAAAAAGAATTATAACAGTTACTTTGTTTTCCTTACCCTTACAAGTTCCTTTAATCGTTCACGATTATACACATTGCCGATTTCTTCTCCAAGAAGAAAATCTAAAAGTTTACTAATAGGATAACTCAATGGAAATGTAATTATCATAGTTAATTTTGTCATATAAATAGTTTTTGCTCCAATACATAATCCATGTCTACTGCAAATGGCCTAATAAAATATAAAGTAATTTGTTAAATTATTTGTAAATTTAAGAATTATGTTTCCATTCGATATTTTTATTGAATGAAACATGTACTCTTATAAATATATATTTACCTGTGGTGAAATTTCACCAAAAATTACAATGGCTAGAGTAGAGCAAATAACAGCAACTAATCCAGAAGTTAAATCATCTAACAAAATAGTAAAAATCGAATTCACCAAAACATTGGAGAATAAAATTGAACATAACAAATAATTCCCATGATTTCGCACTGGTTGTATTGTTCTTGCATATTGTTTTTCCTTTAGTATATAAATAATTGAATTAAATTGTTTATAAAATTACAAATAATGACATAACTTCAATCAAAGTACCTTTTCTGTTCCAGTATTACAAAGTATCTTCAATTCAGTTCTATCCATTGCCATTAATCCCAAATTCAAACCAGAAAATAAGGCAGAAAAAGTAAGACACATAAGAATAATTAAAATACTAAGCCAAAGTGGTAAGAATTTTTCATATGTATATATCTATAATAATGAATGTTTTTAATAAATTTCTTTAATAATATTTTGTTTTTATTACATTTTATTACTCACAGTTTTCCATGATTCGGTGCCTTGATGTTTAAAAAGTAAAAGGTTTGAACCTTGTTCTCCATATACTGCTTGTTTTACACATATGTAAAAAGGTGAACCAAGAGGTAATACCACATCAACAGTTGCAGAATTATTTCTTACATTTTTCATCTGTATCAATTATATTCAATTATATACAATATTGTGCATAATATAAATATTTGCTAAAGAATAAATAGAAGTACTTACTAAAAATGCATTGCTTTTAATCTTATCGCAAATACTACCCCTTTTAGCAGGTTCATCAGTAAAAGTAATCCAAGTATCTTCCGTGAAACCAAAACCAAATAATCTTATAACTGTCTTACTTCCAGCAAGTATTTCTGGAATGCCATCCTCTCTATAACTAGGATCCTTTTCTGATGTCTCTATTCTGAGACCCTCAATAAACACATCTGTATGGATTTCTTGAGTCAACAGATTTTTGGGGTCATCATTGACACTGGGTAACAAATTGGCACGACGCATACGAAAATATTTTCTGAAATAAAACATCAGAAATGAATCAAATATCAATCTTTATTAAAAAAAGAAAAGGAATTAAGAATTTCTAAAATTAACAAGGAGAAATTTTATAAAATTAGTTTTCAAAGTTTATTTGACCAAATGCTATTTGTTTTTTTTTAAGTAAACTGAACATTTTTAATTAAAAAAATTACAAGTTTAGATTTTAATTGAAACAATTACAAGTTATAATATATTAGCACAAAAATAGAGAGAAGTTAAAATGAGATAAACCTATTTAATATTCAATTTTAATTAATTGACCTTTAAGCAAACAAATTTCCTTGGGTATCTAGATACAAAATTGTGAACAGAATCAAAAAATAATGTTACATTGTAACAGACAAATTATATCTCATATGTATAATGTTATAGAAAAGCTTTTTGTTGTCGATAATATCGGGATTTCCACCTTCATAAAAAATGGTGTCAAGTCATACGATAAATGTCTATTATTTATAAAAAAAGAGAATTCTCTTTAATGATGTTCGGATAAAGACAAGTTATCTGATATTGAACTTACTTTGACTGTATTGGCGATCTGATAGTAAAATTGCTTCCAAGATTGGTCCATATTTCACCGAATATGCTGACAATTTTTAGACAGAAATAGATCGTGGTAACCTTAAAATTAGGAACTTTGTCGAACTTATATATAGCCCGACTGCCATTTGGTGAGATCCAAATTGCACTTAATTTATTTTTTGAATCGCAATTATCGAATGTACGTGACCAACGTAATGAAACATTATTCTCGAGGCCGGTGCCAAGAACTTCAATCAAGAAACCAGAACTAGAAGACACGTTCTCTCCCGCGACAGGGTCTTTTTTAATTAAGACGTTCACTGATTTGACATTCAAATTATCAGATACTTTCACTTTTGTAAATGTATTAACGCTTACTAAATTGGATGTTACAAAAACAAGTAATAAAAGAGCTGTCGGTGTGCTTGAACAGACAACATGTTGCGCCATCATGCGACAAGTGCACCGTGACAACTTCATACAATCCTCGTCTACTACCGCATTTATAATCTCACATCCTCGTATTACGCTTGCGTAATACCACAGACTAACTATAGCATAGATTTTACATTATAAGGATTTAATGTTATCTCAGAGTCAGACACTGCCTTCGGGAAAAGCTAAAAGTAGCAAAAATAAAATAATCGAAATTCTTAAACTGATTTCAGCCGCTGATTTAATTAGTTATTGCACTAAAATTAGTTATCTCAGTCAATGCTGCATTGATAATATGTTGCGAATGATATTTAAAGATCAAGAAAAATTTGCAAGTTTTCAAACGCAGAATATTAAAATGCATCAAATAAGATTGAATCTATTTTATACTTCATTCGTGGTGTGTATAGTCTGTCCGTTTCGGCGGGAAATAGTAAGTTTTGCGTGTTTTGTTGTGTATGAGATGTTTGACGTTAGACTCTCAATATTAAAAAAAGATTTAATGCCACTAAATTAAGGATTAAAATTATTTTATCATTAAATTTCGTTTTATTTTTTTGTACACAATGTCGATCGGTTAGTATTTCGTAATAAATTAAAATCATGAAATGTCATTGATAATTCAAAAAGGTTAGTTCCAAATGTTAGATTAAAATTGTATTAATAATTTCTTCTAAATCTTTCAGCAACGCTTACATCTATACAGCAAGAGATTGTTAAAGTTATTAAAAGATTTAAATTTGAGGAATTAGAGTTATCGATAATGCCAATTTTTCCAGAGATGTCATGGGATAATGTAAGATCTGAATTAATTAAACATCATAAAAATTTTACATCTGCTAATGTAGGACAAGTTATTAAAATGATTATTACTGTAAGTTTTATGCACGACTGTATCTTATTTATGTAATCTTATTTATTTTATCTTTTGCGTTATTATCTTTCTTATTTCTTTTTGTAGCAAAAAAGACTTAAAGAAAAGAGTTTAAAAGATCGCTTGTTGTCATTACATTTAATTGGTAAGACGCATAAAATTCATTTGTAGCACTGTATTTATTTTACAGATTGATAATGAAATTGATATTTTCAGATACAAGTTGGCACAGTTATAAAAAGATGTGGTATGGCTATACATTAATAGGTTCTAATAAATCTGCAAATTATCTTATAATTAGAAAGATTCAAAATAACATGAAAGATAATTTTAATTCATTAAACATGAAAATTAATTTAAAAATATATACACATAATGATATTACATATATCTCTTTAGTAGAAACAAAAAGAAAGAATAAACAAAATAAAGTTCAACATGCGATGTTCTGTTGTGCTTTATTTATGGGTCAAAAATATTTCTTTTCTACAAAAAAAAATATCTCGTCTGATATCTTAAATGCAATAGCAAGAAGCTTGGGTTATGAAGATGTCAAAAGATTAAAATTAATGGGTAGAGACCTTAAATCTTTGAGTATATTATGTTGGAAGAGGAAAGAAGGGGCAATAAATTCTCAGAATATTAATAAAACTTTGGTATATGAAGATGGTAATCCTGATAGGAAGTAATATTTCTTTTACAAATTCTTAAATAAAATAAAACTTAAAAATTATAAAAGGAAGTAATCATACATTTATTCTATAGGAAGACAGGTGTAGATTTTACTCAACAAAAGCAGCGGAAAAAGTACGCAGATTCATGTTTTGGTGATAATCCTCCAGTTTTAGAAGTTGTTGTCGTAAATGGGCCTACTTTACCTGTATCACATGAAGATATATCAAAAAAATTGCCAAATATAAACATACAAGCAACGTGAGTTCTTTTTAAATGAAATCATGATAGTTCATTACATATGATTTAATATGTAATTTTAACAGAATTTTAATTTTTTATATATTAATTAAATTAAATTTATTTCAGATGGGAATTTCGTAGTCAAAATATTGCCGCATTTTTATCAAAATTAATAGAACGACGTATACTTGTTACACCTGTGCCTCATTATATATCAAATTTAATGATATTAGGAAAAAATGAATTGACACTTAAAAGTGATCAATAATTAATATTTAACATAAAAAAGTGATGCAGGCAAAGCTTGCTTGTCATATTAATTATATAACAGACAAATTGGTAACAAAGTATTACCATTATATGTAAAAATGTAAAATAATTTATCCTGTTATTGTTTTTAATATTAAATATTTCAAATTTTTGTATTTCAAAATAGTTGAATAAATATAATAAATATAATGAAATGTAATTTTGATATAATTAAAAATAAAGGAACATGGTACATCTTTTTATTCTTATTAATTGACAAGATTAAAAAATGCGTTTATCTGGTTTGTATAAAAAATATGATATATAATGTATAACAAAAAATCTATCAAAAATTGTAGAAATTAATGTACTAATAATATTTTCATGTGTGTGTGTGTATGTATATATTACAATGTATATCATGATAAAACAATTTATTTAGTATTTTACTACAATATAATGATTTATAAGTAAAAGATTTTATGTATAATTATAATATATTCTTTAATTACATGAGCGTTATTTAAGTTAAATATTAAGTGTCTTACTACTACAGAGGATAATTATATAGAAATATTGTTTGATGTTGCGTTAAATACGAGATTGTTATTACATCAAATATGATTGTGTTGTCTGTGACAAAATATTTTGATTGTTACAAGGAATCCTATAGAAATGAAATGAAACCAGATAAAGAATTATATTTGTAAAATTTGTATTAATTTTATACTTAATATTTGTACCTAATTAGTAATATCACGAGTCAATAATAAAGTTACATTACATATATAAATACAGGTAAATTGAATAATTATAATATATATGAATACATTAAAAAATTTATTTATGTGTATATATACTATAAAAATTTATATTTTCAGTTGGACATATCATTATCATCTACTTCATCTTCTGATGTCAAATCTAAATCGTTAGCTTGTGATAAGCACTTATTACAATAACAATGGAATAAGTATAAAGAGCTTAAAGCTTTTTGTCGAGAATGTCTACTTCTTTCTAAACAACATTCATCAAGATAGCTTATGCATATTTCTTCTTCAGGATGAATATCACGTATAGCTTTTAGAACCAATACATTGTTTGAGTAAGGAAATTCTACGACTGCATTTGGTACGCAACTATGATTTACTGATGACTGAAGAATATAAAGGCCAGAACCTTCATTATTCAAAAAGAAAGCCACCGCTAAAAAAAGTAAAAATGATAATAAAGTAAAATTCATACTCTTACAATTTATGTACAAATTGTAAGAGTATGTACATGTACAAATTCACATTAAAATCAGTTTACCTTCTTCCATATCATCATAAATCCGACCTATTAATTTATCAACTTGAATTCTTTCATCTCTCGGTAATTTCAAAGCAGATACATTTTTAACCCAACGACTAAATGCGCTAGTTCCAATTCCTTGGCCATTTGTACCTACTAAAGCTAATAGACTTTTAAAACCTTCTGGTGTAAACCACTGCAAATTGAAATTTAAACAATTTATATTATGATATAGCATGTTTTGAGTTACATTTACACTACATACATGTTCTGTAAATTCTGTATTTACAGCTTTCTGCATCATTTGTCTGAGCACATCAATCTGACCAATAAATTTTTCTCCTAAAAGTTTATGTGCAATTTCATGTGTATCATTAACTGTACGATGACAAAATTGAGAAAAAGTTGAAAGGATTTCTTCTTTATCAATGGCTTGATTAACAAGAGCTACCATTTTAACTAATAGCATCACTGTTGCTGATTCTGGTGGATAATGCATTTGCTTCCATGTTTCATTTAATTGCACCAAAGGATGAAACTCATCCTTTTCTCTTGATTGTAAACATATTGTACTATGATATCTACATTTTTTAACATTTCATACAGTTATATAATTTTATTAATATTAGTATTAAATTTGTAATATTATAACATTACCTTAAAGCATTATTCTGACATTCAGTACTACAATACTTTGTGCCACATTCAGGACATTCTGTAATCAAATCTTTCTTTGTTTCGCAGCATTCTGGATGAGGTAAAATAATTGTTGAATTTCCAGTCAATCTATGTACATTCTCCTCGGCAGTTTCTAAGGGTTTTAAACAATTGTCACAAGCTAAATATCCATATTCTAAATTCCATGAGAATTGACAACAAATTATAGGTTTCTCTTCCAAAATTGTGTCCCCATTTTTAAATAAACGAACTGCGAAAAGACCCTTGCCCTGTAAAACATATATAATTATTTCACTTTTAATAATAATTAATAATTAGACAAATGCAAAAAAAAGTTTCATGTGTCTCTTATTTAGTAATATATAAATTTTTATATAAAATAATGATTACTTATATGCATATTGAATTATACCTTCTCGTTGTTGATTAATCTGATTTGAAAGTCATTGGAACTCATTGTAATTTGATTCTTTAGTTAAGAAATTACATTAGTTTTTAACCTTTAAATGCACATCTGTAATTGTCACAATCATACTACTGCAGTCAAATTGTAATTAGTAGTAGTCACAGTCGGTCACAGTTACTTTTAATAGTTAAAAATATTTCGCAATGAAATATTTTCGGCGTGATAATATTTTTATTTCAAATTGAAATTAAAATATCTTTATTATTTATTCAAAGAAATATCATACAATTTAATCTAGAATTGTTACTGACTTACATAGTACTTATAATACTTCCGTGAAGGTAAGCTTCGGATCTTTTTGCATGTAAGTTACTTGTTCCGAATCGGTTCAGATTTACTTGGTAAAATAGATCCAAGAGAAGTTTATCTTAGCGTGTTGGATTACAAAGGATAATGAACGGAGCAATGGCCATGGTAAGCTAATTGTTATCATTATTTCTGCAAAAATATTGAATTTCTCATAATAGCAAATTTTTTGGATCATGATGGCGGTTGTAAAATGCTTCTAACGTACTTCTGATTAATATTCTCTAAGTATTCAATAAAACATAATAGTAATATATTTTACATTATTTAAACAACATTCAGTCTTTATAATAAATAAAATTATTAACTCTTCTTCCATTAAGTTTTATTTTTAATATTATATTGTTTTAGATTCATTCAAGGTGTTTATATTTTCTCTGAAATTTTTTTGCGTAACTGTAAAATATGTTCTTTTCCATTACAATGGTAATTATATCTAAAAATCATAATTTTATAGTCTGATATTATTGAAGGAAGTGGAATTACTTAGGAAAATAGTTCAATTGATAAACATTTTAAAAGTTCTTTTTATTAGTAATCTCTTGTTTTTATTGTATATAAATCTTGTTTTTATTGTATAGTAATCTCTTGCCTTAATTGTATAAATGAATCTTTTATATGTTTTTAGGCACCAACATCTCAGAATAATGTGGAACCTCCAAACAAGAAACCTAGAGTTGAAGGTACATTGCTAATATTCCCAAATAAATGTATATTCCTAATGTACACTAATAAATTACACGATTAAGCGTACAACTGGAAAAGACGGTGAACACAGAAGCAACAGCAAGCATAATATATTTCTAAGCAAAGGAAATGATGAAGAAAAACATATATTATTTACTTAGGACAATCAAGTGCTAGCTTTCTATTAAACTGCTGGCAAGCTATAAGTGTTGAGTGGTCTATTGCAGTTTCAGAATATATTTTGGTAGGCTAGGGTGATAGGTGATCGTTGGCCCTCAATAAAACTAATGTATGGTTGTCCTTCTGTTCTGAGATGTTACAGCGGAGAGACAGTACAGAATCTGTGGCCTACGACTGAGCTGTGATCATGAGCGTGCGCCAAACAAAGAAAGAGAACGCTACATTCGTTGAACAGAACAAATCAGAGTTTTGCAAACTCCCACTGACACAGCATCTATTGTCGAGTACCAAATATGATGCGTATTTTAGATAGGTCAGCATTTTAGGGTAATTTTCTTTCATCCTAATTATAAGCTTCTAATTTTTTTTATTAAAACCAAAATAATTGTTTGGGTATATTTTATCTAAAATATTGACTAAGTTTTTCTTTAATTTCATGTTTTTCTTTAATTTCATGTTTTTTTTTCACTTAAAAATTGAATGAGTAATATCTTTAATTTCGGATTTAATTTTTAAATATAAAATGCAAAGAGGCTTATAAATAGGAAATGCAATGGCGATATATCTTTTTTAAGATATTCTCAAAATTCGCCAAATTTATATTATTATGTAAAGATGAGGTAATTTATTCTTTTATTAAAGAAGAGACATACCTATTATGAAAAAGTTGTTAGAGTAGGGTGCACAACGCAAACGAAATATATTTTTGTGAAGGTCGATCGCATTAGATCTTTTTATTAATTAGGATCGCCATTGCTATGCAGAAAATGTTAGGGTTAATTACGTGGTAGGTTGGAGAAGGCAAACTGTAAGAAAATGGCGCAGAAAATGCACTGAGAGTATTCTCCTTTGCTTTGTGCTTACAGATTTGTGCGTCGCCTCAATCTCGGATAATTTGCGCACAACCATCATTGCTCAGCCCAGAACACGGTTAGCTGTTAATCAAATGATCGAACAAAACTAATAGTATTAATTCGTGAAACTGCAAAAGTCATAAAAGAGAAAGAGAAACGTTTCAACGTGTTCTGATTTCTGTTTCAGAGACTAGCAGACCAAATTGGTTATGATCATACGAAACCTAATCTAGTTATTGGTAGTCTTTTTTTGGGGCTGATAGTGTAAACAGTAATGAAATTTAGATGTGAAAACAATATTAATTGATTAATTGCAATAATTTCTCTTAAAATTTTGCTATCTTCTCTTTAAATTTTGCTATTGTTTTAATGCAATTTTAACATTATTCCTCTTTTAAAACATAAAAATGTTTTTATTTTAATGACGTGAAAGAAAAAGAAATGTATTTACATGAGTATATACATATAATTATGTACATATATTACTTTATATACAAGAATAACGTTACTGTTCTTGATTGTTTTAATTTCTTTGAACTTACAGTTTGGAGGACGATTCTACCGCAGTGGGAATTGCTGTACGACATCGTTACTTTTTCCGTCTCTTTTTAAGTCATTTCTTTCACTTTCTATCCATATTGAAGATGATTATAGAGATATTTAAAACTTGTACTTAATAAAATTTTACAGTATACTTGTGCACCAAATATTAAATATTCTTGAATTGAATATTAGTCAGTATATATAATTCAAATTCTGTTTAATTTTAATGAATAACAAGACTAAAAATTAAGAAATCAGATCTGTATATCTTATGAAACTATAAACTGTTCTGGTATCCCTATCATCACAAAGCAAAAAAGTAAAAGTTGGATAATATTTTTCAAGAAGTTTGTACGAGTATGTGATGGTGGAAGTACTAAATGTAATATGTATTATGTTTCATTATTGTCTAATGCCAACTTTTTTCGTAGGAAATGCATCAGAGTTCTTGCCAGGCCCTATATATGATCTTAATCAGATAAAACAAGTTGTTGCTGGTATGTAATAGTATAATATATAGTTTTTTTTTTTATTTCAAATTATTAAAATAATTTAATATTTATATATGATGTATATAAAATAATTGTGACAATTAAAATTTGCTGCTCCAATTGAAGTTATATTGAGAGTTGATAATAATTTAGTGGACAAATAGCTGATAAGATCTGACAGAATATTACTTTTTTAAAATGTATTAATGAAGCATATTTTATTTTACATATAATATCTATTTTGTTACAGGACCTGGAGCTAAATATCTTACATTACCTGGCATTCTAGGTGCGGGTCTTCCAAAAATTACATCAGAACAACAGGATACAGTAAATAGAGCAAAAAAATATGCAATGGAACAAAGCATCAAAATGGTTCTAATGAAGCAGACTCTCGCGCATCAACAACAGGTAATTTTTTAACATGATATTAACAAACTTTACTCGCCTAATATACATTTTACATTCCATTGTACATTTATTGATTCTTATATTAGAAATCTGTCTACTACTACTGTAAATGTGAAATGAAAATGTTCAATATGAAAAAAGATCAATATGAAAAGAATTAATGAAACAATCAACATGTATATTATGGAATAATGTTTTGTTTAATTTTTATTATTATTTAATTAAATGTTGATTGTTTATGCAAATGAACAATGGAATTAATGTATACATTTATGAAATGATACATTAAAATTATGGGGTTCTTTTTTGTCTCAAAAAATATTATTTGTTAAAAGATTTACATTTTTCCTCTATTTAGCTCTTTGCCAGTAACATAACAGAAATTGAGAAAAATGTGTCTATAGTGTATTAAGCTGATGTATGTCCTTGCAATTTAGCTCGCCCCGCCGAGTAATATTTAATTTAATTCTAAATGTATTAACCTGTGTT